TTGTCTCATTTAATGCAACAGTATGAGTATTTTGTCTGCACATGCATTATTTAGGATGATTGTATTCTATTCTGTAATTTTCTTTCCTTTTAGTTTTTTTAAACTGTATCATATCCATCTTTTATATTTTCTCTATGCTTACTTGTGGTTTGATCTCAAACACAGATGTGTGCAGACATATAATAAAAATGCAAATGGGAGTGGAAGGAGAGTTCCTAGTTTAAATATTTGTAAAGAATAGATATCATGAGAGGGTGTCTCCTTGCATGTTTTGTTTTATTCTCATGAAGTTTGGCATTTTTAGCAAATCTGTTGCTTATAATTTCAAAAAATAAGAGATTTTTAGGTAAGTATTCTCTTGAAACAAAGTCAGCCACTCTGTCAGTACTCGAGCTAGTTGTCAGATGGTGTGATCATCTGATAGGTTTAATTACTGGGTGTCCCTTTTAGACAGGATATGTGTTCAGTTTTTTACTACTAAGACTTCTCTAGACGTGTCCAATAATTATAATACTTGCTGGCCCTTGTGGGCATTTCATTTTCACACTTAATGTAATGTGAAATTCAGGATAAATGGATAATTGTCACTTCTGTGAAAGCTGGCACTGTTACTTATCAGCCAAGTATAACTAACCTATGATTGGCTTTAAAATTCTTTAGGGATGTCTTTATCTCGTGTCATTTAGCCCATGAAGTACTATCGAATTTTAGCATTCTTTTAAGTCAAATAGAAAGTTAACTCCACTATCATTTCATATAGAACTTTCTGAAACAAAGTCCCTATGATCTCATTGTTCATATCACCGTTTTGTAGCTCTGTTCCTATTAGGTGGAAAACCAAGAGCCAAATGCCTGTGATTCTCTGCTAGTGTAGTTGTGGAAGTTTGCTCACTTTTAGGAATGCTGACATTCATGGAAAATGAAAGATGTGTGTACACAAATGTGTTTTGTGAATCGCTTGGGTTTGCCATCATTGATGCCATGTCTCTTTCTTCCTAAAGTGTAATTATGGAATGATCTCTTGCCTTTTTACTCACACTGGCCTGATCTTAGTGAGAACCACAGTTGGGTTTGGATCAATGCAAGGCTTGTTCTTTTCAGAAGATTGTATGAAGAAAGCATCCATGTTAAAGGACCCATGACAAAAGTATCTTGGGTATATCCAAGACCTTAATTTAGTCATAGCATTTTTTTCTTTATTTTCTTTGTAGGTGAAAGTAAATAATGATTTTAATTATGAATTTTACAACAGTAGTTGGTCTTATGTAAAACAAACATCTGAAGAACATACATCTTCCAGTAAGAGGTCTTCCTTTTTCCATTCTTCATCATCTGCTTCACACAGTTATAAGTCAAATTTCAATGAAATCTATAAGAAAAAGGTTAGTATGAAATATCAGCTAACTTTTCCATGTTTTTCTAGTTTTAGGTATTGCTGACATTTGTAAAGTGCATTTATGAAATGATCAGTTTTCCTATTTAATTAAGGCAATATCATTTCTTTAGGGGATAGTACAACAAATTTCTTTAAAGGTATAATGCTGTCTTATTAATTCTCTTTGACAATATATGTATTTGTGTTTTTGTTTTCTCATTAAACTATTTGTTCTTATTTGAAAATCTTAAAAAAACTTATCTCAAAATCTTCTATTTTAAACTATCCTAAATTTCTCACTCATGATTACTGATGTTACTATTTTAAGTGTTATATACAGTGTAAAAAATCCAATAAATGCTTTTGCTATTGACAGAGAATTTTTAGAAGGTATATGAAGATTCTTAAAATACTTTATTACTTTTGAAATACCAAAATTCTTATTATTTGAGGATTATAAGACTTACTTTTAAAATCTTTGTTGTTTTGAGATACGAAAACTTTCATATTGAGCAGTTGAAATGAATTGTACTAATTGATAAATTAGCAGAAGAATTTATCAGGTTGATCACTTTTACAATCCACACATTTTATCTCACCCTTAGAGCCAGTAGTTTGGTTAATAAATCATGCAAGAAAGTTAACAGGAATGCTGATTTTATTTATTTTATTAAATAAATAATAAGGACGTATGAGAATGTGAACTGTTAAAAATATTTATCATCTCTATATTATTACATTTTTCACACAGTGGGAATTTGATATAAGGTATGCAACATCTTGGATATTGTTAAAAAAAGAGAAATGCTTAGGAAGTGTTTGAAAGATCTGTTGTAAAGTAACTTTACTTGTCAATACTCTGTCTGAGAGAGAAATTATACAGTCATCTTACCTGTAAGTCCTGGTCAAGGTGTGGACCCTAGGAACACATTATTTTATATGCTTATCTATAAGATTGTTGAGCAGTTGGTGAACTTGATTCTTTTTTCTTAGTTGAGGAGGGCACAGTAACTTGATCTTGGGGTTTTGGGTGTCATGCGTAAAATGAGTCATCATGGTGTCACCCAGGTATTATTCTTATTTGGGACTTCAAAATTGCTCAGATTGCTTCATGAGGGAGGGCCCAGAAGAGACCTCCTCATGTCCATGTAGAAAAATCTATCTTAGTTGATTGGAGGTTGCAGGTGATGGAGACATTGGATAGGGAATGATTTTTTAACATTCCACTTAAAACTGCTTTCACTCTTTCCTCTCCTTGCAGAGTTATCAATTACTGGTTATTCAGAACACTGTTGAAGTGGCTCAGTTCATTAATAACAATCCAGAATTTTTACAACTTGCTGAGCCATTCTGGAAGGAACTTTCTCACCTTCCCTCTGTGTATGACTACAGTGCCTACCGAAGATTAATTGATCAGTATGGGACCCATTACCTGCAGTCTGGATCCTTAGGAGGAGAATACAGAGTTCTATTTTATGTGGACTTCGGAAAAGTCAAAGAGAGTGGTACAGTATTAAAAAAAATATTATCTAAAAGCATTCCAGGGGGGCTGGGGATGTGGCTCAAGCGGTAGCGCGCTCGCCTGGCATGCGTGCGGCCCGGGTTCGATCCTCAGCACCACATACCAACAAAGATGTTGTGTCCACGGAAAACTAAAAAATAAATATTAAAAAAATTCTCCCTCCCTCCCTCTCTCTCTCTCTCTCTCTCTCTCTCTCTCTCTCTCTCTCTCTCTCTCTCTCTCCTCTCTCATTCTCTCTTAAAAAAAAAAAAGCATTCCAGGGATTTTAATGGAGAAATAACATGTAGTTAACTTAAACTTTTGAGCTTTAAATTTTAATTGCAAGAATACATTACTTTCTATTCAAAATCTCACATGGTTTAAAAAAGTTTCTGCTTATATCTTTTAAATAATACTCCAAGTCAATCATTATCATTATGGATTATCTCCAGAGAGTGCTGGTTTAGAATATAACCTTTCCTGTTTCTCAGATTAAACCATATTTCTTGAGGAAAAAATGAATGAGGAATTTACTGATATTCTAGGAATCTAAATGTTTTAAAGAAGAATTTTATTTACTTGTTTTCTTTATCACAAGTCCTTTAAAAAATCTTCACTACCACAGGTTTGCTTGCTATATAATACTTGAAACAGTAGCTTAATTCATTGGATGCCTTCTCAGGAAAAGTAAGCTTTGGGTTACCAATAATACCCAGTGAGATAGGCACTCTGATGCCTGTCCCATGGAGACTCCGTGCCATGATGTGACTCATTCAAGGGTATGAATAAGAAGGGTATTTAAACCCAGTAACTGGCTTCCCAGTCAGCTTAGCTTACTTCCTAATTATGTTGCTACTACATTGCCTGTTTTTTTTGTGAGAAGCAAGACCTGCCACTGAATTCATGCTTTGTGGACTCACATTGATAGGACAATCCCTACCATCTGCTCAGATGTGGGATTGGTGTCTTCACATCTGTGGCTCCTCTCCAGAGACCTTGTGATCTTGGCTTACTAATGTTCCAAGTCAAACCTCCTTTCCTGACTTTGTCCTTTAGTTGATGCCCATACTTCCTTTTTGATTCCAAAAATAATTTTTTTCAGGTTCTTTCTCTTAATAAAGATTCCGTTATTAGGACTGGGACTGTGGCTCAGTGGCAGAGTGCTTGCCTTGCATGTGTGAGGCACTGGGTTTGATCCTCAGCATCACATAAAAATAAACAAATAAAATAGTCATGCTGTTCATCTACAACTACAAAAAAGAAAAAAAAAAAGATTCTGTTATAACCTTGGAGAAGAGTAAGACTTCTTGCCTGAGACTCAGAAGAAGTTTTGTAGCATTTTTCATATGAAAAGTATAATATTTTCCTGTTTATACTGGATTTTTTTTTTGTAGTTCTCTGTCAGATAAAATTCAACTAGAATTTGTACTTTTCTAATTTCACAGGTTGAAAACGAATGCACAAGCATGGGTTTTTATAGCAAAGACAGAGGTATTATTTTTTTTGGACAATCAGTCCATCAAAGGATTGACCTGAATTCAGTTTCCCTATTTCAGTTTTATAGTGCTTAAAAGAAATGGAGATTTTTAAATAAAAAACTTTCCACATTAGTAAAATTTTAAGTAAAATGTTTTCATTTATTTTCTTAAAATTCTAAATTAAATATACTAAAAACTGTGGATGTTATCCATGTTCCCAACTGTTCTTTAAGAAATGCTTATGCCTCTAATGCCAACTATTCAGGAGACTGAGGCAGGAGCATGGCAAATTTGAAATCAGCCTGGGAAACTTAGTAAGACCCTGTCTTAAAATAAAATGAAAAGGGCTGCAGATGTGACAAAGTGGTAGAGTGTCCTAGAGTTTAATCTCTAATACCACAAATAAATAGATAAATAATAAAATAAAAAATAAAACAAAAAATTGAGGCTTGGCTGGGATGTAGCTTAGTGATGGAGCATTTGCCTTGCAAGCAGAAAAAAAAAGGAAAAAAGAGAAGAAAAGAAATATTGAGGCTCATCTAGTATAGCTATTAAAATTATATCAAGATTATATGAAGAAAACATTTTTCCAAATTTTATTGTTTACTATCCTACTTTAAAAAACGAATTGACAAAACCACATTTGACCTATTTGATAATGAATAGAAATTATCACTTTCTAAGGTTATGAGTTATGGAAAGAAGTGAAGAACCACAAATGATAAAGATGGAGAAGCTGAGTCAGTAGAAATAGGGTGCTAAGAATTATCTAGTACAGAACCATAATCCAGCCTTTGAAGTTTCCAGTCCATGGGTTAGAACCCAACATACTCCTATGTTTATCCATGTGTTTTATGCCTGAGAAGCTGAATGTGACAGGGCAAAAGTTATCATTCATTTGAGGTGTTCCATTTCTGCTGCCTCTACTCTTTCTTGCGGAGGTTACTCCCACTTCTTCCTCTCTCTGGCCAAAGCTAAAAGAAAGAAAGTGCCAAAACCTAAATATCCTCTTTCTGAACTTTAACCTGTTAGAGTAATTGAAAATGTACACATCATGTCACTCTTGATTAAATGGGTACCATAGCAGGAAACAACCTCTTATCCCCAGCCCAACACCTTGACCACCAAAGGAGTCCTTCAGTGAGGGCAGAAACTAAACACATTCTTTTGCATTCCCCTGCCCAGGTTCTGTTTCGTTAGAACATATGACATGTACTTCTTCAGATTTCCGTTTTCTCTTTGAATCATCAGAGCAAAAATGCAAGGAACTGGAAGACGCTCTAAAATTGGGTTCAGGTAAATGAGAAGGGAGCAATCTGCATTACAAGCCTGCTCTCTCTCTCTTTTCTCTTGTTAATTCTTGGTCTGCATGGGCTTTTGAAGTGTTAACAGGTGTTCTACTTTTTGTTTTTCATCTATTTGAATATTTTTGCTTTTGCTCTCCTTTTCATATGTCATGAAAGTGAGATGTCATGTAAGGTGGGTATCTACTCTGTATTGTAAATGTGTTCCCAGTGTACATCATTTCTTCTCCTACAATGGTTGGCAAACAAGTCTAGAAAAGTTATAGTATCAGGGGAAGGCTTAATTCTACTTTATGATAAAGATATGTTATAAACCCAGTTAAGGTTTTTGGTGCATGCTTGTCTTGATGGGGAGGGTGAAGAAAGTGGTGTGCCAGTCTTTGAGTGATTGCAGAAGGAACTGGGAGGCAAATTGACGAAGACTGTGTAGGTATAAGGATTTCATCTTACCGGCTACTGGGTACCATGAAAAGATTTAATACAGGGAGTAAGTAAGTGAAGGATTACGTAGGAAAAGTTGTTGAAAAAGAAGAGGGATAGAGAAAAAAAATGATCTGTTAAGAAAAGGAACAGGAGAGATGGAAAGTGAAGGAGGGGTGGAGGAGAGAGAGAGAGAGAGAGAGAGAGAGAGAGAGAGAGAGAGAATATGAAATGCTTCTCTCTAAGAGAAGTAAGGAAAGAACTGAAGCCTGACCATTGGATTTGGAGGTGAAGACTTTGTTGCTCTAAAAGGAAGTGATTCTGTAATGTTGAGGAAATAGAAGTGAGACAACAGCAGGGCATCGTGTGAGACCATGGATCCAGCAGCATTAGGTCTTAAATACTTCTTGAGTGATGGCAGAAATTGGGATGAAAGTAAAGACTGACCCAGGTGCCATTATTATCATCAAGGAAGCAAGGTTATTAGGATGAAGTTAGATGACTGCAAGAAGGAGGGAGACAGTAGTAAAACCAGGTTTATGTACACACTCCTTGTTTTATTCCCCAGCTATTTATGGAGTCTCTAGGATGTGCCAGAAATTGTTCTAGGTACTGGGGATACAGTACTGAACATGCCAGAGAAAGTGCTCCTCTTCAGGGAGGTGATGTGACACAAGAAGGGGAATTTTTGAATGAGGTGGAAAAATAATGTTCTGGACATAGAAAACGTGAAAGTTGAAGCTTTGGGAAGATTTTGACATTAGTTACTAGCTGGGTGACAAATTGGAAGCTGCTGGTTGATTTTATTTTATTATTTTGTATTTAACAAAATAGCACTTATTTTGTATTTAACACAGCTCAGCATGATTTTAAATGATCTCCACTTAGTAACCAATATAATTATCCTATCTAAGAGGTAAGTAGTACTAACATTTCATTTTATAGCCAGGGACACTGTGGCATAGAAAAGTTGCTCAAGATCAGAGCTAATAAAAATCAATTGCAGGGCTGCGGATGTGGCTCAAGCGGTAGCACGCTCGCCTGGCATGCGTGCGGCCCAGGTTCGATCCTCAGCACCACATACCAACAAAGATGTTGTGTCCACCGAGAACTAAAATATAAATATTAAAAAAATTCTCTCTCTCTCCTCTCTCACTCTCTCTTAAAAAAAAAAATCAATTGCACTCTGCTGCCTTTTCTAGGGGAAAGGATTTAGCCAGAGCTCAGGGTTCCCTGGGATGTGAAGAAGGTGACAGGCTTAAAAATAACATAAAAAGTCCCCCCCCCAATTATATTTTTAGGGTGTAGTTCTTAAATAGGTATGTCTATTAAGGCAATGATTCTCAAACTTTAGTATGCATGAGGAACACTAGGTGCAGCCTGCTGAAATGCTGATTCTAAGGCTTATTCTCTCAAACATTCTCTCATAGTTCTTGGCTGGGACTTGGAAATTTGTAGTCACCCAGTGGTTTTGACTCACTAACTCTGGACTTTGTGATATGTTGCATAAAAAGTGTGACTATTTACATATGTAAAATATAATTAACAATTAAACTGAGGAAGCACTCCAGTAATTTATTTAAAATATCAGGTTTTAATAATTTCTCATTTTAAAGTACAATATACTTATGAAATTGCAAAATTTGGAATGCTACAGGAAAGGAAATGGAAACCACTCAAAATCTGATTTATAAGATTAAGAATTCTAGTGATGGCTGTGTAAAATTCAATTAGAATATTTTTGAAAGTATAAAGCACATACATGGAAATATTTAATTAGCATTCAAACTTTCAGAACATTTTTCATATGTTAGGTAATGTATTCCTGTTAAATAACATTTTTTTGTTTGTTTCATTGCTAACATATGAGACACAAGACTATTTTGTTTCTTATATTTTATTATATCAATTTTCATACATATAGGAAAGTTTGAAGAACATAGCAATTAATACCCGTATATATCTCCTCTATTTAACAATTATTATTTTGACATTTCCTATGAATATGTGTATCTTAAGTATATATACAAACATATAATATGTATGATCTTGACTGATTATTTACAGTATGTAAATGTCATGTATTTAAAATGTTTCTAATATTTGATGAACCATATGAAGGTAAGTTTCAGACACCATTATACTTAAATCCTTAAATATGCATATGTGTCTTCTAAGAAAGACCTTCTCCTGCAAAACATGATATACTTCTATTATGTTAAGAACACTGAAAAAGTTAACAATTGTCTCATTTTATCTACTTAGGGCAATGGAATTTTTGTCTTTTTTTTTTCTTTAAAATATCTCATTTCTTAGAACACTTTTAGGTTCATAGCACAACTGAGAGAAAAGTACAGAGATTTGCCTGCCCACCAACACATGCAGTCTCTTCCACCATTTGTATCCTCCAGCATGGTGCATTTGTTAATACTGGTGGATTTACACTGACAAATCATTACCACTCAACACTAGTTAACAAGAGGATTTGCTCTTGGTGTTGTATAATTTTATGGGTTTGGACAAAGGCACAATGCACGTATCTATCCTTGTAGTACTGTGTAGGATAGTTTCATTGCCCTAAAAACCTGTACTTTTTCTGATCTTCACTCCTTTGCTCCTAGCTACCACATGTCTTTTGACTATCTTCATGATTTTGCTTTACCCAGAATGATATACAGTGGGATCAGTTTTTAAAAATATGTGGCAGACTTTTCACTTTTACATTCTCATTCTCATTTTGTTTGTGCACACAGATTTATTTTGCTTGATTTCTCCTGTGTAGGAAACCAGAACAATGTGTTGCGAGGAGTCCCATTTGTCAGAGGGGGAGGTCCCGGCTTCATAGCTGGCCTTAGTTTCCTACAGCTGGACAATCCTGCTGGTAACAAAAGGCGGTACTCCGACTGGGCGGAGTCTGTGACTAGTCTTCCCCAAGTCATAAAACAGAAGGTATGTGAAGCTCTCTTTAAGGCCTAGAAGCATCATGTTTATTTGTACTGGGAAAATGAGATTAAATCAAGGTGATTAAACAGCTGGTGGCAATTAGCATTTTCTGTATTCCAATTATGTTTTATATAGTGAAGTGAATGCACACATAATAACAAGAAACAGAAGGTATGTTATCTGATATGTTCATATTTCAGTTGTAAATGTTAAATGTCTTGTACATCCCAAGGGAAATTAATGATGAAAGTTGCATTTTTAACTTCTGACCTGAATCAGATTTTATCTGTTTTGATTTATAATTCAGAAGAATTACAGATTCTTAAAAGAGGAAGGCATGTAGACTTGTCAGCTATTACATCTGTCAGATCATCTTTCTTCCTGTGACCATGGCTCATGGGCTACTGAAGTCCTGTAAATTAGGATAGCACCAAATTGGCTGAAAAAATTTAGACTATTTTGTTAAGATGGTCAGTTCTTTTATAATACAACAAATGTATTCTCACAGCACCAAAAAGTTTACCAAAGGGCTTATGGGAAAATGGGATGAGGGACAAAATAATATCACACACATCATCTGTGACTCTCATTTAAAAAAAAAGGTACTTACAAAAATAGCAGCACATTTTTATAGGTGCTGTTATTAAGAAATGCATTTGTTCTGCAATAAATGTGGCATATTTCCTATAAAAAGATCTAAAGCTTGATGGATGCACGAAGGTTGGTAGCTGAGTAGTGGTAGAAAGAGAACTATGAGAAATCTGACAGTTGTAACACTGGATGGAGAGGTGTAGCTTCTAAAACAGGCAGTGAACTGTTTGAGGCGTATGTGTGCACATGCATTTCAAGTGTGCCTATCAGAGTTGGTTGGGCAGCATGTGCTTTTCTGTGTTCACCCTGTGTTTCTTATGGATAAAATTCAACAGAGGAAAATAAAAAAAATTGCAGTATGCACACGTTGTTCCTTAATATATCAATATTAATGGAACAAATCAACATTTTCAAAACAACCATATCAGCAGAACTCATTTTATAATCAATTTCCCACCATGGGAGTCAATGTCCCAGGCAAAGCCTCATTCTGAGAGATTAAGAGACTTGGGCACATTTTATATACTCAAAAAAGTTATAATAGCTCTTCAAGTACTCTCTTAACACCATATTACACCCAGTTGCCTCTGAATAAGCGGAGGGCGGGAGAGTGAATTTTTCCTGGGAACTCTTAAACTGCCATTTGTTAATAATCAAAACGGAAATGGCCAATATTCACTATTGATGTCCCAAACATTCTTCAGAAATTCTAAATTGTTGATTAAAGGAAAAACAAGCATTCCTTCACATAGACTTAACTATGTACTTCTCCACAAAAGACTGTAAACTGTCATAGTTGTGCTAACTTATTAACAGGGTACCAATGGAGTAATGAAAAAAGGTAATGTATGACCATGCAAGGCCGACCTGCTCATAAAAGCCCGCCCCCACAAGCTTTTGGTGCACAACTCTTTCCAGTTCCATGGTTAGTGACATCATGGTGTTAGTCTGAAATTGGATATGGTGAGAGTACTCTGTAGAATTGGCAAGTGCTAAAAAGCAGAACCTTTTCGCTCCTGAGAGAGCAGACTGTTAAAGTTTAGCCAGCACATCTGCAATTTTGAAGTTGCTTTTCCTTGGAAATATCCTGCACAAAGTAATAATGTATACCTGTTTTAAATTTCTCAAGGAGTGCATTCATGGTCTCCACTAAAGAGACTTGTTACATCTCTCAGAGTCAAAAGAAATTTAATTCTAAGCTTAATTGTACTTGCTTCTTTACTGTAATTCAAGTGCATTTCCTTTTCTTCTGTCCTCTAAGGGGGTGGTGATGTATTATTTTCAAAATCATCTTCCATTAGCTAGAAAATGAATGTTCTGTTTTTTTAATTTTATGCATACACACAAGATATAAAAATATTTCTTCTCTATCTGATTCTAATTTTCCCTAGGTTTTTCTTGATTGTGTTGCAAAGACAGTGAATTGCTTTCTTTTTTTTTATTTGAACAAAAAAATATTGTACTGTGGTCCCCCTTGTCTGCAGTTTCACTCTCCTTGGTTTCAGCTTCAGATCAGTGTTGGTTTGAAAATATTAAATGGAAAATTTCAGAAATAAACAATTCATGATTTTTAAGTAACTTTTATTACAGCATAGTATTATAATTGCTCTATTTTATTACAAATTATTGTTGTTACTCTATTACTGCACCTAATTTATAAATTAAATTAAGTAAATCAAGATAAAATAAATTTATAAATTAAATTAAGTAAATCAAGATAAAATAAATTTATAAATTAAATTAAAATAATTAGGTATGAATGTCTAAGAAAAAACATGTATATAACAGGGTTAATACTATATGTGATTTCTGGCATCCACAGGAGGGCCCTGAAACATAGCCCCTGTGGATAAGGGGAACTACAGAAATAGACATAAGGGTGGCTTTTGATTGTGTTTCAGTGGAGATTGTGCCCATGTGTAAAAAGGAAAACATTCTCACCTAAAGTTCTGAGCACTGACTAGGATGTCTTCATTTGTATAGCTGACACCTATATATGAGCTGGTAAAGGAAGTACCTTGTGCATCTGTGAAAAGACTGTACCTGAAGCGGGCTCTTGAAGAGTATGTGGATGAATTCCACCCCTGCCATTGCCGGCCTTGCCAAAATGGTGGTTTGGCCACTGTTGGGGAGACCCAGTGTCAGTGCCATTGCAAACCATATACATTTGGTGTGGCTTGTGAGCAAGGAGTCCTCGTAGGGAACCAAGCAGGTCAGTGTGCTGAATTTTCCCTAGTTTTAGGATGGACACATTGAAAACAGTATTACTTTTTCTCTTTGGCTCCTGATGTGCTTCTTTGCTACTTCTTTTTGTGACCGCATTTGAAGTCACATTTGAGTTAAATCTCCCTCCATTTTTCATTCCCGGTTGAAAAAAAGGGTCTGCAGTTAAGACCTTCTGCTATCTCTCTTTTTGCCCACCTTAATTAACAATACCACTATGACCTCTACTATCCATTCTCTATTAGAATAAAATTATGGATAAAATAATCTGCCATCTTCTTATAATTATCTCAAAAAGGTTTTGTTGTAACATTGGCCTATGGAGACTGAGTTTGCATTGCCTAACCTTTCTGACATCAAGCTCTTTGAAACATCTTTACTTCTATATCATACAAATTGGTTTAGTTTTGTTGTGTGTGATACTGAGGAGTAGATGTGGTTGGGAGAAGAGGAAAGTGGTCCCAAAAAGAAGTAGCTGAAGAGCAGTGTGAGTGCACGCGCATGCGCGCACACACAACGTTGTCAGGAACCAGTCGTTTTCAGGATCCAGTCATTCAAGGGAATGGTTTCTGAGGTCATGTCTACGTAGGAAATCAAGGCTCTTAAGATATGAGATAGGAATATCACCCCCCTCACCCCACCCCCACCCCCCAAGGGATATGATAGGGGAAAGCACTAGAAGAACTCTGAATCTTAAATGGGCTCTAAGACAGGATGGTTGTGGCCAATGTGGTTGAAGAAGTGCCTGCAGCTTGGAGAAGAATGCTGATGGGAGGCAAAATGGAGATTTAAAAGCATTTCTTCTGTTTGATTCATTTCCACATCTTGTACAGTGCCAGCCTAGGGTTGGCAGACTGAGAGGACCCAAAAGGCTGTGTTCTCTTCATGCCAAACCAGTGCTTTAACTGTAGGACATTACTTGCCTTATGGAGAGACTGTGGGGTGAGGAAGAATCCTGCACTCAGCCAGAAGACCAGAGTACAGTCTGGATGTGGCTCCTGACAGCCATTACAACATTGAGCATGGCATTTAGCCACTTTGCCTTCGAGTTCATGTCTCAATAGTGGGAATAATAACAACCTCCTGCCCACCTCCACTTGTTTTTGTGAGAAGTATATAAATGATACATTGTCCATGGAAGTGCTTTAGAACAATTTTGTAATATAATCAATATATTTAAGATATAATTACAAGAAGTCCACTAATGCAGCTTTAATATGGACATTCCAAGGCGGTATAGAGCCATTCGGGCCATTGCAGAAAGCCCTCACTGAACAGAGCAGAAGTAGTCAATTGCCACAATTGTCCCTCCCCTTAGCAAATATACTGTCAAGAAGCATAGCATTAAGCTGTGAAGTCCTCCTCTCCAAGAACTTACTGAAGAGCTTTTCCCTTATCATACAGGTGGGGTTGATGGTGGTTGGAGTTGCTGGTCCTCTTGGGGCCCCTGTGTTCAAGGGAAGAAAGCAAGGAACCGGGAATGCAATAACCCACCTCCCAGCAGGGGTGGGAAGTCCTGTGTTGGAGAAACGACTGAAAGCAGACAATGCCAAGACAAGGAGCTGGAGCATTTACGGTAATGGAGATCAGATCTCTGGGCAATTGTGTAGAACAGTGTCCTCTGCAGTAATTGTGGACAATGTGATGGCTGCTGGTAAAAAATTTAGATATTAGGTGGTGATTCTTGTTAGTGATTACTTAGCTTCCTGGCACTGGACTTGGTGGAAGAGAGAAATGGCCCACTTGTGCTTGTGTGCTTCAGGTTTTCCTGACATTAAGGTTAACCCAGAGCTGGGAGCAGCTCAGCTGAGCAGATGTAAGTGGTAGCTTTGGCATCAGGCAGATTTGCCATCTACACACTACACTTGCTATGTGACCTTGGGCAAGTTACTTACACATCTCTAAAATTAGAATAATAGTAGTAGATAAATCTATAATAGGATGCTGTTAGAACTGAAGGAGATGAAGCATGTAAAGCTATCAGTATGCCTGGAACATAGTAAACATTTAATAATTATTGTATCACTTTTCAAAGATGCTACTCTTTCTTATTTAGCTATTCTTTGGGTTAAACATAAAGCCAGATGTCTGAGATGGATATTTTGACTGATTAGCCTGGTGGTCACCTGACACTTGGTCTACATTTGCAAGATCATTGCAAATGCCATCTCAAAAGTGCTTAGACAACTAAGCCATTGTGCACTGGGTCAGAGATCCTTATGCCATATTCCACTGTTTTTTGCCATCTTTAGTAAATTCTTCTGATCAGGGAGTTAGAAGAACGTTCTAGTAAGACAATTTGAAGGTCATTTGAATTAAAGAGACAAGGTTTTTGTGAAAGGATACCTCATTCCTAGGTCTTCATGCCTTGTAATCCAACAATAGCCAGTATCTCTTGACTGGGAAAGCTGGGAAGCATATGATTATGGTGGGAAGAGAATGTTGGCTTCAGGGTAGGTCCCTCAGGGAGGATGAAGGTCTGAGAGGAGGTCTCTGCCTGATGGATCTATTTCCCCTGGCTTTAGAGATAAAGCTGAAGGGAAGGGAACATTGAGTAAGTGAGGCACTGAAGGAAACTTCACTCATCTTCATGTTCAGAGAAGTATCCTCCTTCTCAGGCCTCGAAAGAAATCTTTGATCAATACTTCTCATTTCTGTGTTTCCTCAGAGTGCTACAAAAGGACAGGAGTGGAGCTGAGAAGGAGGCAGCACCCACAGGCTATCTGTATTGCACAGATTTTATGTCTCTGCTGTGGTCTGTTGCTCTCAGAGGCTCTGTTGAAAACCTCTGTTTAATGATGAATGTCATCATTATCCTTATTACACCCTGCCCCTAGAGTTAATCCTGGTTATGGTAAGTTGTCAGGACTGGCATTGGTGAGAACATAGTAGTGTCTTTGTTCCTCCATCTTCCTTTTAGGCTCAGAGTTTTGGCCTCAAATCTTCACAAAACTTGCTTTTGCCAAAGAATGTCCTGAGTTACATGGTTCATAAAACAATGTGGACACTGTGACCCCATTGTCCTGTATTTTCATTTAAGAGGAAGAAGGAGAATGATTGCGGGAGCCCCACTGACTGGACATGAGTGAACTCAACCTTGGCATTTGTTAGTTTATAACCTTGGACAAGATTTTCAAGTGTTCTGTGCCTTTGTTATACTCCAGGTGTTGCTGAATGAATTGAGCTAATGGAGGTGTATAAAGAAGCTGCTGTTGTGTCTGCCACATAGTAAATGCTCAATAAGAGAAGTTATTATAATTCTGTGTTACTTTTCCCTTGGGTTCACTAACTCTGATTACTATTTTCCAATACAGTATTAATTCTATGTTAGAGGAATTTTAGAACCCAAGGGTAGGAGAAAAATAAGGTCATTTCACAGGTGACCTCTAGAAATCCTGTTAAGTAGGTGTGTGGTCCAAAGACTTTTATTTCTTTCTGCTTCTTTTTTTCATACAGCAAATCATGAGGTTATTTAAATCACTGTCTTTTGTTAAACTGAGTTAATGTTTGAATTTACACCATACGATGTGATCAGCTGTTTGGTTCTGAGAATGACAAAAACATCACATGAACATACTTGTACTTTCTACTTACAAACCTTCAGATATAAAGGAAAAATTCTAATATAGTGCAAAATATTCATTAAGCTCTGGAAATCAATTACATTAATCCCTTTTTGTTTCTTTTTTTCTTTCAGATTGCTTGAACCACATTGCTTTCCTGTATCTTTAGTTCCTAAAGAATTCTGTCCATCACCTCCTGCCTTAAAAGATGGATTTGTTCAAGTTGGTTATGAAAGATACTTTTTTTCTTTATAATATTCCAAGTTCTACTTTTCTACAGGGCCATAATTTATTTCCTTCTTCCATGGTGAAATAGTGCTCAAAATATCTGATATATGCATTTTAGTTTTAGTGGTGAAGGTTTTAGATTGTGGCTTTTCTTCTTTGAACCAAGATGATTCAGACTGCAGAAAGCAGTACACACACTTAGTGTGGTGTGGGAAATCAACACTGCCACCCCCTGAATTTGAAACACAATTATGCCAGAGGGCTACTCCATATTGCCACTCAGATATTAAGAATCTATAAGCCTGTTCTCCAACTTTCAGAACTTTTCTTATTCTTTCCACTGTGAAATTTTTTTAAAATATTGGGCTTGGGGCTGGGGTTGTGGTTCAGTGGTAGAGCGCTTGCCTAGCATGTGTGAGGCCCTAGGTTTGAATCTCAGCACCACATATAAATACAAATACAGAAAAAAAAACAGGAAATGAGAAAATTCATGTAAAGGCATTAAAAAATGTGAGATCTGGATGAAATATTAGTTTTTTTTTTTTTGTGGTGGTGGGGATTGAACCCAGAACTTCGTGCATGCTAGACATTCATTCTGCTCCTGAGCTACATTTCTAGCCCACAAAGTGTTAGGTTTATTTCAGGAGTAAGATATTTAGCTAGTGTCTGGTGAGATATGTATCATTTTAATTTGAGCAGTTTTCTTGTTCAGAAAGGAACACTAGTCATCTTGCATTTGTCATCCTAGGGATTTTACTTGGATTTAGAACCATATTAATTGATGCTGTTCTCAGTCTTTCTTATGATGAGACCTTGGCTCCGAATCCCATTGGAGTCTCTTCATGACTCACGCAGGAGATATTGTTCATCAGGATGCTGTCAATACAACCAGCTTTGCTTTCTTCATGAAGGATTCCATTTTTCAAATTTTAGGCCCTTGAGCTGGAGAGTTTCCTGAAGTTTCCCCCAATTTAGAGAGAGTGAGAATATTTACTTAGCATCTCTCTTTTTTTTTTAATGCCTTTATACATGTTCTTTTTTTTTTGCATTACAATTCTTTTTTTTAAACTTTTTTTTAACATTTATTTTTTAGTTGTAGGTGGACATAATACCTTTATTTTATTTTTATGTGGTGCTGAAGATCAAACCCAGTGCCTCATACATGCTAGGCAAGCGCTCTACCACTGAGCCACAACCCCAGCCCTGAATTACAATTCTTAATACACATATGTACCACAATTTTTGTATCTCTATTTGTATGTAAAGTATGTTGACACCCAATTCGAGTCTTCATACATGTACTTTGTATAATGATTTCCATCACCATCCATAGCATCTCTAATGCCCCTTTTGTCTCCCTGTGGCCACCACAATCCTTGGAGTTCTTGAGTGAAACACTTTCAAAGGAGGCCAAGCAAACTCATATGCCTTAGAACCATGAAGATGTTGGCACCCCAAATTCCAGGGCATGTAGTACCAAAGGAGCCGTGGTTTCCAAACATGGCTCTACAGACTGGCCACAAAGAATCTTCCAGAGAACTTAAAGATTGGGATTGCTGCTTGCCCCTGTCTGCCACCTTTTCTGATTTTATAGGGTAGACCCTAGAAAAGAAGGAGGTACCAGGACATTTTGTTCTGATCCCTAAGGCAGAGCTGGTCTAGGTACCAGCTCCAAGCCCCCCTGTAGACCTCGGTTTCTCCATCATTCTCCTGGATGGCAGAACCTGAGAGGGTAAGGGAAGAAACAAGGAAGGACCCCAAATGATCATAATTATCTTCTCACAGGTTCACATATTAAATCCTTTGCTTCACCTCCTGGCATTTAGGCTTGCAAAACATCCTTGAATCTGACCCAACCACAGCAGTATTTCTGTGCTTATAGGGTGGAGTAAGAAGTTGGGGTGGGAGAAGATCACCATTATGCTTTGCTTAAAAGTCATCAGTGAGAAGTTAAACCTTCATGAAGATTCTGCTAGGATTTAAACATTTGAGAAACAGAATCCTTTAGGAAGAAAGGATTCTGTGGACTTATGCTGTCATTTATTAGGTAGCATTGCTGAGGAATAGCCTGTAATACTTTACCATGAAGAGCTTATGGACAAAGACACTTCCAAAATCCAGTAACAAACTATCTTTTACTAAACATGTTAGGGAAAGAAGTTTCTTGAACAGTGTCCTCTCAAGTGATTTTAGTGAAATGCTTAGAACAGCACTTGGTATTTTGGGAGCAATCAATACTTTATAGAACATTGATGTTTATGGTTTTATTTCAATTAGTGATGGTACTAGTATAGTTGATTAGGATGATTCTGGGGAAAAGGCTTTATTAGAGACAATTTTCTAAATCAGTTATTTGAATGTGGGTTCTGATGATTAAAAGGGGCTATGATTTATAGACCAAATAAACAACAGAAACATTTTGTTAATGCGACATAGACAAACTCTACCTCTCTCCATCTTTTATTTTTTGTTTAGGGGGAAGGTACTGTGTTTCCTGTTGGGAAAAAGATACTCTACACTTGCAATGAAGGATACTCTCTTGTTGGAGACCCTGTTGCCAGATGTGGAGAAGATTTACAGTGGCTTGTCGGGGAAATGTATTGTCAGAGTAAGTGACCCAGATTGTAGTATATAACTCAAGATGAGAGAATAATGTGGGAGAAAATGAATCAAGATAAATAACTACTCACCATATGCCCTATGTCTTGAAATCCTTTTCTGAAAGGCTATATGATCCTGTTCAATTTTCCTAAGTAACTAGACTAAGCCCTCAGCCATCTCCAGCTGGAAATGATCCTGTTCAGTGGGGTCAATTTTATTGCAATTTTGAAATTTCTGATATAAATTAGAATTATGGGAGCTTTCAGGCTAAGATCATCAGTACTTTTTAGAGTTCAGTTACTATCAATCTACTTCTTTACATGCTTTGGACCCTATTCTGTTCAGATGCAGGCATGTGAATAAAAACATCTGCATATTGTACCCTTCTATTTCTACCCTTGGGCTCTTATTTCAGCTAGAGCCAAAGAGGAGGTGTTTGTTCAGCAGATGGATACACAGAGTTATAGGGACACCTTTTTCTGAATTAGTTGTGGTATTCTCTGTGAAGAAAGCCCTAGTGCACACATGTATATTTACTACTTGGAAGTGTACCCTTTAGTGGAATTTCTGAATCAATGGATAAGAATACACTGGGAAAACATGTATTAAATATGAGATTTAGTTGATGCTGTTAGGCTTTCAAGCACTTGTACCGATATACATTTCTACCAGAGCCTGAGGAATTATATCTATACTTTTCTTTGTTTTCCATTTTCTTTCTGTTTCATCATAAATATTTTCCATTGATTTATCTTTCAGTTTATTAATTCTCCATGTAATTGTGTATAATCTACTTTTTGGAATTCTGTTTAATTATTAATTTCATTTTTCAATTCTGATGTAACATTTTTCTAGTTTTTAAACTTTTAAATTCTTTGCTGAAATTCTTCATCCTGCCATTTAGCTTTTTTTCAACATATTAATTGTAGTTATTTTAAGACCTGTATCTGCTAATTTTATTATCTATATCTCCATGGGTTTGTTTCTATTGTCTTTTTGTTGTTGTTGTTGTATTTTGGTCGATTTTTGTTGTTTCAAATATTTCATTAGCTTTGCTTTGATAGCTGTTTGAGTCTCTTGGAAGTATTTATTCTTTTAATTTTATATAGCCTTCATATTTGTCTTGATAGAAGGATTGTGAAGCCAGCAAATATATTATGCCAAAAATAAATCTAATGCCAGATTATTAGCTTCTTGAAAATTTGATATGTGACTTATATTTTGCTGCCTTTTCATAAATATTTAGCATATTTGGCAAAATGCAGGTGCTCAATAAATGCCATTTTTGAATAAATAAATGGGTTTTCTGATGAAAATAGTGCTGAAGCAGAGCAGTATTTTATAGAATATTGTCTAAAATCCTTTAGGGAGATTGCTAAAATTTTTAAAAATCATGATTGCTGACCTGCTTTCTGGAACTATGCATATTTCTCATTATTCTCTGCTTTTTTTTTAAAGTAGAAGATTTGAGCCAGTGATATAATTGAGTAAGGAAGAACAGGAATGAGAAACCAAAAAACACTGAATACTTTTATGGTTGTCAGATTAAGGTGATGCTTTACAATTTTTAGGTAGTAATATGTCTAATTAGAACTGGTGTATATGACTCTTAGGAAAATTCTGGAGGGACATCACCATACTAGAGAGTTAATGTCAGCTGTGAAAAGTCTGTTTTTTTGCAGCAGACTGTGCTTGAAGACTATTTGTAGACTAATTCGTTTCAAGTTGTTCCACTGCTGTGAGGGCAGGGTGAAAAGATGATGGATGTTTTGGTCTTCTGTCATTCACTGGTCAGTTACATGGCAGGCACCATGGGGCAAGCACAGTAACAATGAGCTCACTTCTTCCTCTTTGTCCTTTTATGTGAAAAAGCAGAGCATCAGCACCTTTTTTAAGACCGTTTTTAAAAAGATGGTTTAGGAAAGCAATCACCCCAGTATGCTGGTCTCTTTTATCTTTAGAGATTGCCTGTGTCCTACCGGAACTGATGAATGGCATACAGAGTCAACCCCACAAACCGTTCTACTCAGTGGGCGAGAAGGTGACTCTCTCCTGTTCAGGTGGCATGTCCTTAGAAGGTCCTTCGGCATTTCTCTGTGGCTCCAGCCTCAAGTGGAGTCCTGAGATGAAGAATGTCCAGTGTGTGCAAAAAGGTGTGTAGTTTCTGTGTCTACTCAAGGACCCCTGCACTCAAGATGAGTGGGGGTCCTTGTGGAGACCTTCCTGCTTCTGTACCTCCATCACTGTGAGTTGTTCCCTTCCTGTTGCCCACTAGGAGACGGAAGTCAGTTTGTAGACTGTGTAATAGTTATTCAGATGGCACACACAGACTTAGGAAATGTAAGGGCAAGCAAGGATAGCCCTGGAGATCCTGAAACATTTAACTTACATCCTTCATTGGAAGGATTAACTTTACAGCCATTAAGGTGCCAAGAAAATGAAAGATTTTTGAAAAGCTAATATTTGATTTCCTTCTGATTTTTGTCCTGTACTTTTATTAAGTGCAGATTTTAAGTACTAATTTATATAAAATTCTGTGTATTTCATTTCTGGGCACTCAGAGAGTTTATTGGCATTATTGAAATTGAAAATTTAAAAATGTTTACATCTAACTTGGTAACACAACCGTGATTGAAGTAAAAATATTGTGGTTTGTGAAGTTGTCCTTAATAGTGGAAATTTAAAAAATCAGTATTTTGAATGCTGGGCAAATTAAAATGTTCTTTTGAGAACCTAAGGTAGAAAAGGATTTAGAAGCAAACTATTTTTTTAAGAGATATTTCAGATGAAATGGATTTATTTTGAAAGATTTTCTCTCTCTTCTTGGTTTGCATTGTAATAAATAGAAATATATTTTTTAACAATTCAAAACAGGAAAGAGGGACAACTCACTTGAATGCTGTTTTATAACGTATCATTCTTGAGTGTATGACTTTTAATTTAATGCTGAAATTTTCTTTTTTGGGGGGTCCATTTTATTTTTTTTGTTTTATTTTCTGTTAATTCATTTTCATTATACATAATATTGGAGTTCATTTTGGCATAATTACCCAAGCATGGAATATTGCTCCAATTCAGATTCTATTACTTTCCCTCCTCCCTTCCCCATTGACTTTCCTCTACTACTCTTTCTTCTATTTATTTATAGTGTTTTAAAATTAGTATATTGTGGATACACGTAATAGTGAAATTCACTGTGCTATATTTATATGTGTACATAGGAAAGCTTGGTCACATTCATTCTACCATTCCTCTCTTTTCCTGTCCCTTCTTCCTCCCCTTAATTACCTTTCTACTCCACTGACCTCTCTTCTATTTGCATGGATTCATACCCACTCTTTTTCTTTCTTTTTCCATTATTTTTTCAATTTTTGGTTTTTAGTGAGGAAGAAGTACTAGATTCCATAAGTGATAGTGTAGGATGAATTAGATGCTTGTAACCAAAAAGAGAGCACAAGCCGCAGGGAGTGCTCTGCTCTGAATGGTGGGAATGGGCTGTAATGATGGACAGGCGATGGAGAGGAGAATGGGAGCAGAACAGGTCCAATGGAGTGCCCTCCATGCCAATCTGATGTGCTCTTTAGCTATCGGAGCCCCACATTAGAGGATGATTGCTTTGTTTTCTACACACACTGAGGCATAAATATGAGTTCATTTGGGATATGTAAAGCAATGCACCTGTAGCCATAATTCTAAAATGAAAGAGAACAATATATAGTTGATGAGGTTGCAGTTTTGTTTCAAGGAGGTTATATATTTGCAATTCTGAAGTGTATGCTTCAGTCATTTCATAGCACAATTTAGCACAATTTAGTATGAATTTTCTCCCACTCAAGAGAAAATTCTATTAAATTTGATTTTAATTAAGGATGTTTTTCAGACCTGTATGTTTTTCTGAAACTATTCTTAAAATAAGCCTATAACAAACAAAAAACCAAAAAATCCCAGGTTTGTCATCCTCTGAAGTTGGTATTTTAAAATATCAACTAAAAATAAGTAAAATCAGCTGTTTCAGTAGTCTTGTTTATTGTGGCAAAACATGCATAAGGCTTAACCATTTAGTATTTTTTAAATGTGTAGACCAGTATAATTAAATACATTCCCACTGTAATACAATCATCACCACTCTCCATCTCCAGTATCTTTACATCTTCCTTCAGCTGAAACTCTGTATCCATGGAACAATAACTCCCATTTCCCCATTCCCATTGAGGATATCTTGATGTGAGCAAAGGCACATACTCTAGATGTGCTTTAAGAGTATTTATAGGGTAGCCAAGCTATGATGATAAAGTTATGTTCTTCTTAAATGCAATAGTCTTTGGTCTTGGTGATCCTATCTGTGACTTTTTTTTTAACAAAGAAATTATAAAAACTTTTGGCAATCACATGATTATCTAAAATTTCAAAATTTATTCTAAAATAAATTTCTGGTCAAATGCAGAGCTAATTTCCATGGCTTTATCATGAACTTTAGTTCTGGTATATCTCTAGTGAGATTTCTCAGCCTCAGTGCTATTGTGCTTTGGGGCCTGGTGATTCTCTGTTGTGGAAGCCTGTCCTGTGTTCTGTGCTGTTTAGCAGCATCCATGGTCTCTACCCACCAGATGCCAATAGCATCTCCTCCTCAGTATGACAATAAAAAATGCCTTAGACATTGTCAAATGTGCCTCTGGAACAAAACCTTCCCTGGTTGAAAGGCACAGATCCAGAAAACATTATTTTATAAAACATTTTTTTGAGGGGGAATAATTTTAGATTTCAAAAAGGTTGCAAATACAATTTCTACATACCATTTTCTTATCTTTATTTTTTACGTCACTTGAAATAACAGTTGATTAAAAGTAAAAAATTAATATTAGTACAATACTGTTGATTAAATTACACACATTATTCA